AATTCTTGAATGTTATATTTTTTAAATATACGTAATTTTTATTCTCGAATTTTTAAAAAATTTTATTACTAAATTTAATGAAATTAATGAAATCCGTTAAAAAGTAGTTCGATAAAAAAAGTAAGTTTCAGGTTGAAAGAAAATTGTAATTTTCATTCAAATGCAACATTTAATTATTGAAAAAGTGGAAAATTAAATTCTTTACGTTTCTACCAAAACGAATATTTTGAATTTTGAAATGTTGAAAAAAATTTTTCCTTAAAGTAAAAGAAAAAATGAGAAAAAAAAATTTTCTGACATTAATGATCTAAATTCAAAAAATAGTTTCAATTTAAATTTGTTTAAACTTGAAACTTTTACAAAATATTCTGCAAAAGAAAATTATTTCATAAAAAAGAAAAAAATGTTTCCTTAACAAATAAAAAAAATGAGAAAATTGTATTTTCTGGTGAAAAGTTTTTATTAAATCCTCCAAAAAGTAAGTTTAAACTCTTTTAAATTTGAAATTTCGAAAACCGTTTCCGGCAAGGAAAAATTTTTCCATAAAAAGTAAAAATAGAAAAATTAAATTTTCCGGTGTAATTGCAAGGAAACGAAAGTTTTAATTACGTTCGTACCTTTCGAATAATAATGAGGCTCGACATGAATAATGCAAATTTTTCGCAATTTTTTTCGAAACATTTATTTAAAAAAAAGAAAAACCGGTAAAAAATGTCTTCTTTGAAACCGAGTATTTCGACGACCGTCCACGATTGCTTTTCTCGAACTAAACTACACACCACAGCAGCTGTAGCATCGAAAACCCCACCTTCAAACCTTCTTCCATATTGATCCCGCATCGCGCTTTTCAGAAAAAATTCAAATCCTTTTGATTACGAAAAATAAAAAGAATTAAAAATATCAACCAAAAATTAACAAAGAAACAATCTTTCTTTTTTTTTTATTAAAATCGTGTTATTCAGTGGCCGTGTGTTTCGTACGCAATGAATAACACGACCTTAAACTTCTGATTTACAACATCGCTACAAGAATTTGTAAATCCATTTAATCGACAGGGATTTAGCGCATAATTCCCAAAAATTTTAAAACAATAAAAATAAAAAATTATTTTCACAAAAAGAAATAAGAATTTTCTGAAAAATTTTTAATCTACGATCAATAAATTTATATGAATGGAGTTTACAACGTTTATCTGAATAAACTTTTTTGTTTCAAAACAGGAGAATATTGATTTTTTCTCTGACAGAAATATTAATTATAAAATTTTTTTTTAAAAGATTTTTTAAGCTTCAAACGCTAAAAACTACTAGTTATTCAAATTTTGTAATCGAAAATTAATTTCTTTATTTTTCTAACTAATTTCAAATCGTATTTTTTTGTATTATAAAAAATGAAAAATATTTCATAATATTTTCTTCAAAAAGATAAATATTTCCTTAAAATTTTAGAAATTCAATACTTTTTCCACTTTTTATGAAATTCTTAAAATTATTCCTGATTTTTCTAACCAATTTTACTCTCTACAATTTGTGGCGACTCTGTAAAAATATTTTTTTTAGAAATGGTGTATCAAAAAACTTTGCAAAAATTTCTTTTTTATATATGTTTATAAAAATCTACATAAAAAATGTTTCTTCAAAATCGTTGATCATAAACGTCAAAAATTCCACTAAAGTACAAAGTTAATAAAAAATTGTCCGATCATTGAATAGAATTGAATAGAATTGAATAGAATTGAATTCGAATTAACTTGATTAATTGTTTGAATTCTTTAAAAAAAAATTTATTAGTATCATTATGGAGACGATTTCTTTTGCGAAATGTTTTTGTAATGAAAATGAAGGATAAGTCAATCATTAAGATTACTTCGGAGGGCAATTGAGACAAAACAATCTTTGATACTAACGGCTTTTCTAATAAATATGACAATTAAGCGAAATAAATAATGATTCGACAAACTACTATCTCTCTTTCTCTCGATATCTTTCTTGAGTATATATCACGTCATTTCTGAAAACTTCGGAATATGACGTAATTATTTGAGAATCGACTTTTCACATAGCTCTGAAATTTCATTACGTAACAAAACCATCTTTATATTTTCTTTCCTCCTTTTTAGCATAAGTTCCGCCATCAACGAGTGGGTGATCTAATATAACCGTCGTTGAAAAGGACCTGTTGATCATTCTCTCAACATGAAAAAAACATATTTACTTTTTCTGAAAAATACAAAACCTCTCGAAAGCAAATATTATTCTTCAGATTCTTTTCAAATAATATCAATTTTGCAACAAAATTAAATTTTAGTTTTAGGATTTTTCAATATTTAAGTTTATTTTTAACCCGAACAATAAAAACGAATAATTTTTGTAAACAATTAAAAAAAGTTTTTTTAAAATAATAATTCGAAAAAATTCAACTTCAATTCAAAATTCAATTTCAAAATGCAATTCAAAAAATAGATTAAGTTTCAAAATCAAATACAAACAATTTTCTCGTTAACTTTTAGAGCAAAAATTAATTTAAATAATTTGTTTCACAACTAATTCCAGAAAACGGAAATTCAATTTGTTAGAAATTTATTTATTTTCTATTATTTTATTAATTAATATTAATTATTCAATTTAAAGATTTTTGAAGTTGGCGTCGACGCCGAGCATCGAAACGTATTTTTCCACGAAGTTTTTGGATTAGAAAAGTGCTTTGAAAAATTTTTAACTCCCTAGATTGGTGACATATTTTTCTCTAAAAAACCCAAACAATAGTTTTCGATATTAAACGTCGACGCTAATTTCAGGAACATAATTTAAAAATCAATTATTAATTAATTAAATTATAAATTAAAAAATTTATTAATTTATAATTTAAACATTTAAAAATTTGTTGAATTAAAAAATTTTAAGTTAAAATTTATTTTTAAATTCCTGAAAAGTCTGGGTAATTTATTTAATCGCGCCGGAATTAAAATATTGGATTGAATTAATTAAAGAGGCAAATTGTACGAAATCGACACAAATTAATGAATGTCTGGTCCCACTAAATTTTGGACACTTTCCAAATGCGCTTGCAATCAGAAAACAAAGGGGGATAAATTAAATCGAGAAATATCCCATTTGGATTAAATGCTTAAATTAAATAACGCTATAATCTGATATAAAACGCATCTCACAGCAATTATTATCTATTGAGAAAAAAATGGATTGAGATAAAAGTCGAAGATTAATAAACGAACTCCATGACTTTATTAAGAAAGATTAATCAAATTGATATGGGATCATAAATTTTGTTAAACTGTAGGAAAACTGAAGACCATTAACAGAGATCACAGACCTTTTTTTCACATTTATTTTTTACCTTTTTTTTAATTTTCTTACCTATTTCGTAAAACTTTTACCTACTTTTTTCTAATTCTAATTAAATTAATGTAATTAAAAAATTCTAATTTTTGTAAAGTAAATTTTCCAAATATTTTTTCTAAAAATTGAGTTTCACAAAATTATAATTAATTTTTTCAATGATTTTTAATTTGTCTAAAAATTCATGAATTTAAATTTTGATTACCTCTGAATTATGTTCGTCAACATTTTTAAGACTTTGAAATATTAATATAAATATTAATTTATTCAAATTTCCATCATTCTAATTTCCAAAATTCTAATTTCAATCAGTCTCAAATTTAATCCCTATAAATATCAATTTATGTTTTTTCTTTTTTGTATTTCGGTATTAAGTTAATAAAAAAAATAAATTTTATTCAAAAATTTTAATATATCCAATTTTCAATTGATTTTTGTTCCAAAAATATCAAAAATTTAATTTTTTCAATTTGAATTATTAAAGTCCCAAAGGTTCAAAATTAAATTTGATCCAATTTTCAATTAATTTTAATTTCAAATATGTTCAAAAATTAAATTAAAATTTACTTAAATTTTAAATGATTTACGTTCCAAAAAATTCAATTTTTTCAATTTTAATTGATTTTAATTTTAAATATTCAAAATTCAATTCGATCCCATTTTTAATTATATTAATTTCAAATATATGTTCAAAAATTATATTTACTTAAATTTTAATTGATTTAAGTTACAAATATAATAAAAAATGAATTTAATTAAATTTTTTATTGATTTAATTTTTAAATTATTTCAAAAATAAATTTAATGCTGTTCAATTTTTAATTAATTTACATTTTTATTACAATAAAAATTCAATTTTATCCAAGTTCTAATTAATTTAAGTCTTTAAAATGTCCCCAAAATTCAATTCTATTTAATTTTTATTTGATTTTACGTTTAAAATATGATAAGAAACTCAATTTTGTCAAAAAATTTAATTGATATAAGATTTAAATGCACTCTATCCAATTTTTAACTGATTTACATTTTAAATATGACCAAAAATTTCGTTTATACTAATTTCAATTGATTTTAGTCTCAAATGCACCAAAATTGCACCAAAAATGAACTATATTTCAATTTTGATTTGTTTATGTTTCAAATACGGTGAAAAATGTAATTTTTACAATTTTTAATTAATTTAAGTTTCAATAGCGTCAAAATTCAAGTTTACTTTAACTTTAATTAATATAGAACTTTTAATTAATTTACGTTTCAATTACCTAATTAAAAAATGAAATTTAAAAAAATTTCAATAGATTAAAATTTTAATCCTGTCAAAGTAGTATTTTTTAAAGCCATAATTGTGATTGTTAAATAATTTTAATAAATATAAATTATCTATTTATTTATTTATTTATTTATTTTTCGAATTAATTCTCTTCATCTAACAACTGTTTGTTATCGTTTTTGTATTTTTGAAAAATAATTCGCTTCTTTCAAAAAAAGCGTCTGTGATCTTTTATTTTAATTTCCAGCTTCATCAAGTCAATTGTTAAAAATGCTCCGAAATGTAATAAAATTCTTGCACATGTGGAGTAAAAAATTACGCAAAGATAATAAAATTTGAGCTTAGAGAAAAAAAAAGAAAAATTGACAACTCACCTGAAGCGATGCGTCGTCGGTTGATGATCCAGATTTACGCACGCGATCTTGAAGAAGACCGACGAGCGTTGTGTATCGCCTGTTGAGCGTATCAAGATCACGTGCAATATTGTCCACTGTCGAATCGAATTCCTTTCGTGGCCTCTTGACAGAGGCGTCGAGCGACGGACAAATCTCCTCCAATTGTTCCTTGAATGCCCTGAGTCGCTGGCCATAAATCTAAAGTTTTTCGGGTTAGTCCGTTACGGTTAGTGCAATATTAAACTAATGAAACACTACCTTTTACCGCTGGAAGCATGTGTCATTTATAATAAGCAAAAAAAACCCCTCTTCAAATTCATCGAGGGAACGAATCTCGATAACGTTCAATAACCCAATGTGGTACAAATCAAAAATTTATTCTTCTTTTCATTCCATTTCAACAAAAAAAGTAATAATTCTCTCAAAGAAAAAAATGGAATCAAAAAAATATACTCTATGAATAAATAAATCTCAACAGAAGCATATAAAAATTATCGTTTAGCCAAATAAGCCGTATCAATTAATTATTATATTAATTATATTATTTGTCTTGCTTGTGAACTAGAAAATTAATTTCAATTTTATAAGCCTGTATTAAAAATTTCAAACTCTACTAAAAATGAAGAAATAATCGAAATTAATGTTTTTGTTACATTTATTAATTATGCTTTGTTAATGAAGTTATTATCCCGTTAATAAATAAATACCACACTGAGTTATCTTAAGATTCGAGTTGCAAAACTAATGCCGAAAGCTTCTTGAAATTTCAATTTTTCTTAAATTTTATCATTCAACTAAATTGTCAATAAAAAATGGAAATACATTCTCCTCTTTTTTACTGACAAAACTAATTTACTAATCGAATGATCAAGACGCAACGGTTAAGTAAATCAATTAACCAATTAACTAATTAATTAGTTAATTAATTCCGACGTGAATTATAAAATTACATTACGATCTTTTTTCTAAAATCGAAATTTGAGTTAAATAAAGAGTTAATTGGATTAAAAAGTATGAAAAAAATTACAATTATTATCAATAAATTAAATTTATAGAGAAAAATTATAATTTACCTTCTCATGTGATGAGAATGTAACAAATAAATATATGTACAAATTACCAGAAAAAATTGTAACATCCAGATTCGCTGTTTTTTTCGGGTAATTTTTGTTTTTTTTCGTTAAAACTTTTTTTTTCGATGACCGCTGAAAGAGAACTTATTGGAAAATAATATTACAGAAATAATATTGGTATGCGTCGTTTTCTACTTCCTAAAGACTAAGATTTTCACTCACACAAACATTCACACAAAATGACTTTGTAGCAAAACTATTTTAATTAATTTAATTTTCCAATTTTTTTTTTTTATAATAATTTTATCTTACCTTGCCCTCGCGGATCAATCGTCCTCCTGTCAAATTCACGCACTCGATAGCTGGACCGCGTTCCGTTACTTTCTGCAGCAATACCTACAAATTTTAATTAGATATTTTAGTTTATTTCTATATATTTAGCCGAAATTTTTAGTAGTTGGACTTTTATCTAACTGAATTTTTATTAAATTAAATTTCTATTGAACTTAATTTTTATTCTACTAAATTTGTATTTAACTAAATTTTTATAAGACTGAATTTTTATTACCTTGAATTTTTATTAAACTAAATTTTTATAGAACTAATTTTTTGTTGAACTGGATTTTTATTTAGCTGAATTTATAATTAAATAAATTTTTATTGAACTAATTTTTTGGTGAATTGAATTTTTCTTTAGCTAAAGTTATATTTTAATTGTATTTTTAAGTAACTGGAATTTTTTAAATTGAAATTTAATTGAATTAAATTTTCAAATAACTGAACTTTTATTCAACTTAATTTGAATTATAACAAGATTTTTAAATAACAAAAGTATTATAATCAAGAAATTCTTTATAAAATTCAATTACTTTCAAAAAATTTTAATAGAATTTATCGCAAGAATTCAATTGTTTTTATAAATAATAATATGCTTTGGAAAAATTCAATTATTTTCATAAATAATAATATTCTTTGAAAGAATGCAATTATTTTTATGAATATTAAAATTCTTTGCAAGAATTCAATTATTTTTAATACAATTTTAATAAAATTTCACGAAAGGATTAAATTATTTTAAAAAATTTTTAATAAAACTTTTTTAAAGAAGTTCATTAATATCTTCTAAAATTTTAATAAATTCTCTGAAATAAATCAATTACCTATTTTTCTAAATAGTAAAATTCTTAGCAGAAATTAAATTATTTATTTAAGTACTAAAATTCTTCTCAGAAATTCCATTATTATGAATACAATTTTAATAAAATTCAATAATTAAATTTTTAATTATAATTAGGATTAAAAATCACGATTATTTTAAAATGTTGAAAAAATTCTTTGTTTAATTAATTTATTTCAAAATTTTCAATTAAAACTATTAAAAAAACTATAATATTTTCAAAAAAACTTAAAGAAATTCTTCTAAATAATTTAATTATTTACAAAAACTCTAATAAAAATAATAGTTTAATAGAATGTAATTTTCGATCAGTAATTTTAATAAAATTTAATAGTAAATTTATTAATTACAATTATTAAAAAAATCGATTATCTTCAAAAAATTAAAGAAATTATTTTAAAAAATTGAATTATTTTCGATGTTTTAATAAAATAAATTATTTTAAATAACTGTAATAAAATTCTGAGAAAAATTGAATTATTTTCTAAAAATTTAAATACAATTTTTACGCAAGTTTTCAATTATTTTCAATACAATTTTATTTAAATTTGTGGAAAGAATTCAATTTTTTTAACAATTTTGATAAAATTCCTTGATGGAATTCACTTATATATTTTCAAATTTTCTGATAAAATTCTTTTTAAAAATTCAATTTAATGTAAGCATTGAAAATCATTGAATTCTTGCAAAAAATTTTATCCAAAAATTTGAGAATATAATTGAAAGTTAAATTTTATTAAACTTTTATTAAATTTATTATTATCATTTAATTATAGAATTTTAATAACGTTTTTAGAAAATAATTAAATTATTTATTTATTTATTTATTTTTTTATTTTTTTTTATTATTATTTATTTATTTATTTTATTATTATTTATTTTTTTTTATTTTTTTTTTAAATTATTTATTTATTTATTATTATTTATTTTTATTACAATTTTCTAAATTAATTTAATTTATTCAAGGAATTTTATTAAATATAGAAAATAATTGAATTCTTTCAAAAAATTAAACTCTTTTAAACAATTTTATTAGAGTTTTTGTTAATAATTAAATTCTTTTGAAGAATTTTTTTAAGTTTTTTAGAAAATACTGTAGCTTTTTGAATAATTTTAATTAAACATTTTGAAAATAATTGAATTAAACAAAGAATTTTTGTCAATTTTTTAAGATAATCATGTCTGTTAATAATTATAATTGAATATTTTATTATTAAAGTTTATTAAATTTGAATTAAAAATAATTGAATTCCTGAGAAGAATTTTATTACTTATAAAAAATAATTTAATTCTTACGATGAATTTTACTACTCATAAAAAAAATTTGATTGTTTCAAAGGATTTATTAAAATTTTATTAAAATTTTTTTAGAAAATTGAATTATTTCCAAAGATTTATTAAAATTTTAGAAAATAATTGAATTCTGTTGAAAAAGTTTATAACAAATTAAGAAAAAAATGAAATTCTTTCGTGTAATTTTATTGAAACTAATTAAATTTTTGCAAAGACTAAAACAGATAATTGAATCCTTTCGTGAAATTTTATTAAAGCTTTGTTGAAAATATAAACAATATTATGTACTTAATAAGTCAATTTTTTTAATTTTGATTATGAAATTATTCAAAAATTTATATTTGAAAATAAAAAATATTGTAATTTTCATAATAATAATGTAATGAACATCACGTTCTGTGCGCGTAACATTTTCTAGATATTAAATAAGTTAGAAAACAAAACTGAACTTAAACTGCGAACAGATTACCGGAATACAACAATTATTACTATAGATTTGAGTATTAATATAGATTGAGTAATTTTAATTCCGAATGAAGAATTCGACTTTATCGTGTAATTTTAAATTTATAAAAAAAGTGTAAAGCATGACAAGAAATTACCTCCAATTCGCCAGACTTGCACTCCATTCGTCCGTAACTATCGTCAACAAAATCGACCTCATTTTGATATGCATTCTGATATTGTTGCGCGAGTCCATAGGCAGTTTCGGCGCTACGCAGGCGATCGACCAATTGTCCGCAAATATTCGCCCACCGTGAATTCAAACGATTGACTTCCGTGTCCAATCGATCCATATCGCCATGTGGTCCACGATGATTTGGTCTCGATTTCTCCACCAAACGACGTGCATTATGCGCGTCATCATTCAACTGATCCATGCTGAGTTGTTGCTGCGATATTGCCGTCTGCAATGTCATCAAATCGTCGAGTACAATTTGCAGACCCTTAAGATCAGCTGGCAATTCACCGTAGGACGCCAGTTTCAATTCGAATTCCGATATCACCGCCGTATTGTCCTCCAAGCTTGAGAGTACAATTTCCACGCACTTCAAACGTTCAATATAAAGATTACTCAAATTCCAAAGATGCGTCCACTTTGTCATGACATTATCGAGTTTATTTCTCATTGCCGGTGTTTTGAGTGTGATACCGCGGAATGTTTGTTGCACCTGTTCAATGTCGGCCTCGAGTCTCTGAAGAGTATTCTCGAAATCCTTGTGCTCGAGTACCATGTGCTCGAGACTGTCAAGATCACGTGGCAATGATGAGGCAATGCGTAAATTGAGAACTCTCTCGGCCTCGTCGAGTTTTTGCTGAAGGGCCGACACTTGATCGTTGAAAATACGTCCGGCGTTCTTTGATTCCTCTTCGGCGCGGGCGCGCTTCTCGAATTCGTCAAAGAGACGATTCACCTCGGCCATTTCGCGCTTGAGGCGACGTAATTGCGGATCGGCTGGATCGCCTTCGGATAATAATTTATCGGCGTCTTCGTTCAACGCCTTTCTGATTGCCGTTCTTTGATCTTGACCCATTGCCAAGAATTGCGGCAAGTCCCAACTCTTGACGACTTTAATTGTCGCGAATATCATATTTTGTCGTAAGCGCAATTGTTTGCGTTGCCAGAGGGCGACACTTCGATCGTATTGTCGTCGTAGGCGTTCGGCGGCGTCAAGCGCGTCCTTGTCTGGTGGTTGAAGGGCAAAACAAACTCCTGGTACGGGCGATTCAACACCTTGGCTATTTTTCACGCGCCACTTGACGCGACCGGAATTATCGTAGAGTGTGCACTGCTCTCCCTTGTCGATTGACATCTAGAATTTAACAAAAGAAAGACAATTAATAATTTTACTCAAATATTTCAAAATTAATTCAATTTTAAGAGTTGCGTTTACAATTTTCATAAATAATTGAACTTTAAAAGGTTTTAATTTTAAATTTTATAAGATTTCAATTTTGAATGAATTTATAATTAGAAATTTTAAAGGTCTTAAATTTCTGAAAAAATTTTAATAATTCAAAATCTTTTAAAATTAGTTAAATTTGTCAATATATATTTAATTAATTATTAAAAATAATGGATTTATAGAAGAACTTTTAGTTAAAAATACCAAAACAATTGAATTTTGAAGAAGTTACAAATGTTTGCAGAAATTCAATTATTTTCAAAAGTAATAAAATTGTTATCACAAAATTCAATAATGTTACAAATTTACAAAAAAATCTCGACAAAATCCCAATTATTATCTTTATAAATAAAATAATTCTTCTTCGAAATTCAATTATTTTCAAAAATTTTTCTCATTTCAATGATTTTCAATATCTACTATTTTAATAAAATTACCCAAAAAAATTCAATTATTTAAAAACAATTTTAATAAAATTTTGCGCAAACATTTAATTATTTTCATAAATAATAAAAATTTCACAGGAATTCAATTATTTACAAATTTTTTATAAGTTTCTTCTTAATAATTCAATTTTTTTTTCATAAATAATAAAACTCATCGCAGAATTTCAATTATTTTTAATATTTTAATCTAATTTCTAGAAAAATGAAATTATTCTTAAAAATTTTATTGAAACTCGTCAAAAGAATTTTAATTACCTATTTAAAAATTTATTGCTAAAATTCTTTATAGAGAGTTCAATTTTAAAAAACATTCAATTCTTCAATAAATTATTTACTTTTGTATTTAAATAATTGAATTCTTGTAGAATTTTCGAACAAAAATTGATTTAAAAATGTATTTTAGTTAAAATTTTTGATAATAATTGAATATGAAAATAATTTTGAAGAAGTTACAATAACAATATTCTTATAATATAAAATAATTATTTTATCTTTCGAACATTTTTTTTTAAACAATTTATTTAAAAAAAAGTTATTGATGTTTTTGAATAATTTTGCAATTAAATAAATTTGTAAATAAATAAATTTTATCAAGAAAAGAAATCCTAAAAAATAAAAAAAATTCTGGATATTTGAAAAAAAAAGAAATTGAAAAATTAAAAAAAATTGAATTTTCATCAAATCGAAAAGACATTGTAAACTTTAATTTAGACAAATCCTTTAGAAATGAGCATAAGAAACGAATTTTCTCTTTGTTTAAATAAACGATTTTTTTAAAGAAGGTTGAAAATTAAAAAATTAACATTTAATGGAATATGAAAAACAAATTTTTAAAATAAACGAGTTTTTGTTTAATTTATTTAAATGAGAATGTAAAAAAATACTTTTCAGGAATAAAAGAAAATGAAAACAAAAGACTAAAAATCGTAAAACGTACACAAAAATAATAAAAAACAATTGAAAAATTTGCAAATGTTAAGACTGAAAACTACGAAAAGTGAATAAAAAAATTTAACGACGTTTGCAAATTACTTTAAGAAAAAACAATTTTTCTTCAAATTTTTAATTAAAAAAAACGAATACGTTTATTATGTATAATAAAAAGTTAACATTACTTTATCTAAACACATAAATAATTTCAGAAAAAAATAAAATTCGAAAAATGAGTTAAAACTTAATCAAGAATATTTTAAATTTTGGGAATAAAATATTTTTTTCTACTTAATTTATTTGTAAAAGTGCAAGAAAAGCAAATATTAAACATTCGGAAAAATGAGAATTGTTACAAAAATTGAAAGTTTGAAAATATAAAAATTACAAATGTACAAAATTTTAAACTTAAAAAAAATTTGTAACGATAAAAATTTACAGATTGACAAAAATTGAATTAAAACAACAAAAATGAAAAAGAGCGTGAAAAATATCACATTATTAGAGAAAATTATAGGCCGAATGAAATAAAAATGTAAACAAGCAATAAGTAAAACAAACAAAATTAATAGTTTAGTATTAATTTGTTGATTTAAAAACTGATAAGAATTTCAATATTTACGGGACTTAAATTTTACATATAAATATTTTTTAAATTCAAAAACTCGAACTTCCAATTTTTTAAAGCCGATTTTTCATTTGTAGTCAACTTTTGGTTTTATATAAAATATAATTATAATTGTGAGGAATTTCTAAAATGTGAAAATTTTCATTTAAACCAAGTTTTAACGATAAAATAAAAATATTTTCTAATTTCAAAATTTTTTTTAATAAAAATTCTTACAAATAAAAACTCACAGTTTTTAAGAACAAAAAGCAATTTAACAACATTTTTTTATTTTGGTAAAATTTTATTTAATAAAAGTTTGTGAAAATTCGATTAAATAAAAGTTCCACTCATTTCAAATTCGGTAAAAGAAAAATTCCATTCAATTAAGATTCAGTTAAATAAAATTAAAGTTTCGTTTGATAAAAATTCGATTAAATAAAAATTTTATTTTATTGAAATTCAGTTAAATTAAAATTCCATTTAATTAAAGTTTGGTTAAATAGAAGTTTCGTTTTATTAAAATTCGGTCAAATAAAAATTACGTCCAATTGAAATTCAGTTAAATAAAAATTTCGATTAATGAACATTTGGTTAATTAATTTAATGAAATTACTTTCACTCTAATTAAGAATCAGTTAAATAAAAGTTCCGTTTAAATAAAGTTTGGTTAAATAAAAATTCCGTTTTCTTAAAATTCGCTTAGATTGAAATTTCGTTTGACAAAGATCCGATTAAAATTAAATAAATAAATCGTTCAGTTAAATAAAAGTTATCAAACAAAAATTCTGCTAAAAATGAAAAATCTTATTTATTAAAAATCGTTCATAAAAAAAATAAAAGTTACTTTATATAGAAATTTTATGAAATATAAAAATTCTACTATATGAAAATTCTTTTTAATAAAATGCCGTAAAATATAAGTTCCATTTAAGGAGAATTTGAATAAAGAAATAATTTTCCTTCAGAGAATGTTTGATTGAAAAAATCCTATCTTATGGAAAATGAACTAAGGAAATAAAGATGAAATGATTGAATGATTGAATAAAAAATGAAATTTGGAAAAAACTCACATTGACTTGTTTGTAGGTGCAAATGCACGTGACTTGAAGAGGACGAGTTACGGGTTGTCGTCGTTGTTTCATTGGCACAATATCCTTTGCCTGATCAACCAATCGTTGAACATGATCACCATAATTGTTCAATTCCTCGCGTAACTCTTGCATTCCTTTGAGTAGACGTTCACCCTCGTCGAGCGAGAAGTCTGATTGTGAATAAACAGTATTGAGAATATCGTCCTTCTTTGAAATCCACTGTTCAGCTTGTTGAATGTCCTTGAAATATTGTTGACTATGCGATGCATGCTTGAGATGAACTTCAAGACAGAGCGTCAATTGCAATAGCCATGCCCATTGCGTTTGCATTGCCGACATGTAGGCCTCAATCGTCTTTGCCGCTGGATGATGCTGCAAAAGCAGAGCCTCGCCACGATCCTGAACTGCCGAGAATTGAATCTCTCGTTTCTCAAGGTCGCTCATCAACGACTGCAAAACAAAATATTAATTATAATCTATTTTTTTTAATAAATACATTACATTTATACTGTGTTAAATAATTTCTATTTTTTTATCATAAAAACAAAATATATTTTCTAATATTGCAGGGTTACCACATTTGATTAATTTTCTTGACTTTTTCCTAATATCCAGACAGAATTTTGACATTTTCTCTGAACTTTTAAAAAAACTTCCAGGGGAGTTCAATTATAAAAAAAAATTATTACACAGCAAAAATTTAATTTTTAATAATAATAATAATATTATAATTCATTATTATTATATAATTAGTCCACGACTAATAAAGGGCACTACAACGGAGTAAATTTAAAAAATAAAATTAGTTACTCTGGATAAGTTCTCTCGACTTATTTTAAAAAATCTCAATAAACGTTTTTTAAAAATTCAATTATTTTTGTCAATAGATTTTTATTCTAATACAAATTTTAAGAACTTTCAATTATTTTTAAAAATTTAAGTTGGTTGTTTAAAAAAATTCCATTTATCTTTAAAAAAAAGAACTGCAATACTTTAAAACATAATCTTTTAGAATTTTAAATACATTTTTTCGAAACGTTAATTTTTAAACGAAAATTATTAATTTTAATCATTTTAAAAGTTGTAAAAGTTGTAACTCTTTCGAAATTAAGTTATTTAAGATGCAATTTGGATTATTTAATGCTGCTCTTTATACTAACAGACAGAAAACATTCACTTTGACAATTTTTCAAAATTCATTTGTTTACATTAAAATTCTTCGAAAATTCGATTTTTTAAAAATCTGTAATGAAATTCTCTAACAAATTTAATTATTTTCAAATTCTGTTTAACTAAATCTACATTAATACACGTTGTATTCCGGTAATCTGTTCGCAATTTGTTGTTTGATTTTTTTGTTTCCTTAACTTTTTTAATAATTCTTCTTTCCAAATATTTTCAATTTTAAAATTAATATATTGAAAATTATTAAATTCTTGCAAACAACTTTGCCAAAAAATTTGAGAATAATTGAATTCCTTAGAAGAATTTTATTAAAAATTTCTGAAAAATATAATTTAATTTTTTTGAAGACTTTCTTTCAATTTTTTTTAAATAATAGAGTTTCTTTGATAATTTTAATTGAGCATTTTGATAGTAATTGAATTTTATTAACAATTTCTTTCAAGTTTTTAAAATAATCATGTTTCTTAATAATTGAAATTAAACATTTAATTATTGAATTTGTATTAAAATTTGTAAAAAATAATTAAATTCTTCTAAGAATTTTAATACAATTTTCTAAAATAATTTAATTCATTCAATGAATTTTATTAAAATGCAGAAAATAATTACCTAAATACTTTTGAAAAATTAATGCTATTAAAGATTTTGACAATAATTGAATTCTTTCAAAAAATTTCTTTAATTTATTGAATATAATCGATTTTGTTAATAATTATAATATTAATAATTTTACGATTAAAATTTTATTAAAATTATTGATAGAAAATTAAACTCTTTTAAACAATTTTATTAGAGTTTTTGGAAATAATTAAATTTTTTTGAAGCATTTCTCTGTATTTTTTTCAAAATAATGTAGTTTTTTGTATAATTTTAATTGGAAATTTTAAAAATAATTGAATTAAACAAAGAATTTTTTTCAAATTTTTAAAATAATCGTGTCTGTTAATAATTATAATTAAATATATTGTTATTGAATTCTATTAAAATTAAAAATTTATTAAGATTGAAGAATTTTATTATTTATAAAAAATAATTTAATTCTTGCGATGAATTTTACTATAAAAATAATTTAATTCTTGTGATGAATTATTGTACTACTTATAAAAAAAATTGAATTGTTTCGAAGGATTTATTAAAATTTTAGATAATAATTGTATTTTTTCGAAAAATTTAAAAAAAATTGAATTGTTTCGAAGAATTTATTAAAATTGTATTAAAAATAATTGAATTGTTTCGAAAAATATTATTAAATTTTTTTTAAAATTGAATTCCTTCAAGAAATTTTATTAAAATTTTATTAAAAATAATTGAATTGTTTCGAAGGATTTATTACAATTTTAGAAAATAATTGAATTTTTGCAAAAAGAATTTACTATTTATAAAAACAATGAATTTTTTGCAAAAAATTTTACTATTTATAAAAATAATTCAATTCTTCCAAACAATGTTATTATTTATGCAAAGAATTGAATTCTTGCGAAGAATTATATTTAAATTTTTGAAAATGTAAACAATATAAATGAATTATGCACCTATTTAATAAATGAAATTTTTTAAATTTTGATTATTAAAATATTGATAAAATTTACATAATTAGTAGTTAAAAGTAATTCCAAAATTCTATTTATTAAAATTTTTTTAAGTATAAGTATCTTTAAAAAATTGAATTAAAATTTCTCAAGAACCTAATTTTTTTAGAATTTTAAATAAAAGTTTTAGAATCATAAAAATGGTTAAAATAATTATTGTATTATTAATTATTATTATCAATTTCTTCACAGAAATTGAAATTTTGAAAAACTAGTTTAAAACCTTCTGGAATTCAATTATTTATGAAAATTGCAACTGTTTCTAACTAAAATCTTTTTTCACTGAATTATAGGCCAGTCAATGAAGACAAAAAGTGCACAAAAATACAAACAGCAAAGTCTAAACGGTTTCTGGTAGTTTGGGGGCTCCTTATAAGAGCCCCACAGTTTGCTCTCGATTTCCGGGTGCGAAAAACAGTGTAAACAATCGCCAAAGTTTGGAAAACATGGTTTTTCGATGCTCGTTGCTTCCGGTTAAGTTTTAGGGGAAAAAGTTGTTATTGAAAGTTATAGAGCTTGGAAATACCTTACAAATGATGGGTCATACGTTAAAAAAGGTTAATTAGTTTAGTTGCAAATGAATTTAAACCATTAAAAATAGCACTTCTTTAATTGTTTAATAACATTGTTAATAATTATCGAATTTGTTCATAACTTACCAGGAATGTTCTCCTTGCGTAGCTGAATAAATCCCAAAAAAAATTAACTAGATCGGAGAAATAGTTTATGCATAATTCCATTTGTTAACTAAAAACATGTAATTTTTCAACGGAATTTCCCCACTTTTGGTCCATCGAATTTCGATTTTTTTTTTTGGAAAGTACACTTAAGAAGTCAAACTTTCATCCTACTTAAATGGCCAATTGATTTTTTTTATCTAAGTGCATAATAATGGACTTCAAAAAAGGGTATGTTTTTTTTACATAAACAAATGGAATAACTCAGTCAATTTTAACTTTATCAATTTAGTGTAAACGGCATTTAATTTTATTTGTTTTTACAAAACTTTTTCAAAAAAAAAATCCAACCTAGTTTCAAGGGGGGGAGAGTTAGTTTTTATTTTTCAAAAAATTCCTGACTAGATAATAATTAATATTTTTAATTGAAAATTGTGCCACTTATAGTTCAATACATGTATTTTACGAAAAAAAATTGAACATAAGGTTTTGTGCATTTATTTTTCATTTACATCAAGTAAAAGTAAATATATCCTTTTTTCAACCTCTAAACGTCGGAGTGGGGGTACTCGGAGGAGCGTGATTCACGCCGCCACAACTCAATTCAGCCGTTCAAATTTGCAAAAATTGTCATAACTTCGTTAATTATTTACCGATTTTAATCATTCTTTTTTTAATTTGATGTATTTTTTTACGCTGAATCCAAAAATGATTTTATATTTTTTCAAAATACAATATTTTTAAAAATAAAAGAGAAAATTTTTTTAACAAAAAATTTTTAATTATTATTTATAACATTTGACAAAAAATTCTTTTCATACATATAATTCCGTTGAATTGAAAATAATATTATGACATAAAAAAATTCAAATTATTTTTATATAAGTGTGTAGCATCGTTGTACTGATAGTTGAACAGGCGTGCATATGTGAACCTAATGCTACACACTTATATAAAAATAATTTGAATTTTTTTATGTCATAATATTATTTTCAATTCAACGGAATTATATGTATGAAAAGAATTTTTTGTCAAATGTTATAAATAATGATTAAAAATTTTTTGTTAAAAAAATTTTCTCTTTTATTTTTAAAAATATTGTATTTTGAAAAAATATAAAATCATTTTTGGATTCAGCGTAAAAAAATACATCAAATTAAAAAAAGAATGATTAAAATCGGTAAATAATTAACGAAGTTATGACAATTTTTGCAAATTTGAACGGCTGAATTGAGTTGTGGCGGCGTGAATCACGCTCCTCCGAGTACCCCCACTCCGACGTTTAGAGGTTGAAAAAAGGATATATTTACTTTTACTTGATGTAAATGAAAAATAAATGCACAAAACCTTATGTTCAATTTTTTTTCGTAAAATACATGTATTGAACTATAAGTGGCACAATTTTCAATTAAAAATATTAATTATTATCTAGTCAGGAATTTTTTGAAAAATAAAAACTAACTCTCCCCCCCTTGAAACTAGGTTGGATTTTTTTTTTGAAAAAGTTTTGTAAAAACAAATAAAATTAAATGCCGTTTACACTAAATTGATAAAGTTAAAATTGACTGAGTTATTCCATTTGTTTATGTAAAAAAACATACCCTTTTTTGAAGTCCATTATTATGCACTTAGATAAAAAAAATCAATTGGCCATTTAAGTAGGATGAAAGTTTGACTTCTTAAGTGTACTTTCCAAAAAAAAAAATCGAAATTCGATGGACCAAAAGTGGGGAAATTCCGTTGAAAAATTACATGTTTTTAGTTAACAAATGGAATTATGCATAAACTATTTCTCCGATCTAGTTAATTTTTTTTGGGATTTATTCAGCTACGCAAGGAGAACATTCCTGGTAAGTTATGAACAAATTCGATAATTATTAACAATGTTATTAAACAATTAAAGAAGTGCTATTTTTAATGGTTTAAATTCATTTGCAACTAAACTAATTAACCTTTTTTAACGTATGACCCATCATTTGTAAGGTATTTCCAAGCTCTATAACTTTCAATAACAACTTTTTCCCCTAAAACTTAACCGGAAGCAACGAGCATCGAAAAACCATGTTTTCCAAACTTTGGCGATTGTTTACACTGTTTTTCGCACCCGGAAATCGAGAGCAAACTGTGGGGCTCTTATAAGGAGCCCCCAAACTACCAGAAACCGTTTAGACTTTGCTGTTTGTATTTTTGTGCACTTTTTGTCTTCATTGACTGGCCTATTATTATTAATAACATTGTTGGAATTGCAACGATAATATAGTATTTTCAGATTTAGCAAATAAGTTAAAGTAAAAATTAATGGAAAGGGAAAAGCCAGGTACTTGTAGTACCTGAGTAAATTTTGGGTTTAGTCGTACAAAAACGGTCCTGCGGTATACATATTGTACGTTTCATCTTAGGTCTATTTCAAGTTTAAAGCAAATTTTTATAATTCTACTTCTAATTCTCGTTTAAGATTTGATTTAACTATTCAATAATAAATTGTCAATTCTCTTGATATTATTTCCTATTCTTTATCTCTCACGTGTTTTATTTCCAAATATTAAACCAATTCCAACACGTTATCGGCCCAGGTGGATAAAAGGAAAGGAATAAAGTGAAGATCAAGTGAATAGTTATTAAAGATTAAAGAACGGTAAAAAAGAATTTCGCAATGGCTGATAGTTATCGACCCAGCTTTCAAATAGAAAAGCTTAATAACAATAATTATGCAGTGTGGAAGTTTCGAGTGAAGCAATTGCTTATCAATTTAGAAATCTGGTCAGTGGTGAATGAAGAAACTCCAGAAAATCCGGATATAGCTTGGAAAAAGATGAACGACCATGCATTTTCGACGATATCACTACTCGTCGATGATAATCAGTTGGTGCATATTATCAATTCCAAAAGCGCAAAGGAGGTCTGGAATGCTCTGGAGGATTATCACCAAAAATCTTCAGAATCAAGTATCGTCCATCTATACAGAACTCTGTGTCGAATGCGTTTAAGTGAAGACGGTGATATGGAAGATCATGTAAATAATCTACAGGATACAGTTAACAGATTAAACGTTTTAGGTGAAGAAATCAGGGACAAATTTGCAGCAGCAATTTTATTAGAGTCGTTGCCAGATTCGTACGATCCGCTAGTGACAATGTTAGAGAAAAGACGAGAAGGCTTTTCATTATCATTGGCAAAAAATAAACTAATCGACGAGTATAAAAGACGGAAAAATAAGATTTCGTTAAATGAAAACGATAGAGAATCAGCAATGAAACCTGAAGGGGAGTGCTACTTTTGTAAAAAGAAAGGACATTTCAAGAAGGAATGTGAAAAATACATTGTGTGGAAACAGAATAAAGCAAAAGTGTCAAGTGCAAGTGGCAATATAAAGGACAATTATTGGATTCTAGACTCAGGAGCGACAAGTCACATGTGTAATAATCGGGAATTTTTCGAAAATCTCAATTGTGAAAAGAAAGGAAAAGTGCAATTTGCAAATGAAGCTGAATATACAGAGATCGAAGGAATTGGTTCCGGGATACTTAAGGTCATAAATGCAGGCAAAGAAATTGCTATAAAGGTAACAGACGTTTTGTACGTGCCGAGATTAAGTTCAAGTTTATTATCGGTAACAAAGTTATTAGAAAAAGGTTACAGTGTGCAATATGATAATTCAGTTTGTAGAGTTATTGACCCTACAGATGGAGAAGTGCTAACAACAGCGGTAATGAGAAAAAATAAAATGTTCGAGTTGCAGACTAAAGACTCTGTGCACAAAGTGACAAAAATTAAGGAATGTGGAAAGGGCAAAAGTGAAGGACAATTAAGGATCATGAAGGACTCGATCAATTCAGGTATAAAACTCCCAGCCAGGACGGGAGACAATGGGGTTTCGAATTCTAGAAATGTGGTTGCAGGTAAAAGTACAAAAATGCGAATATTCGGAAGACAATGAAACTAATCCAGATGAGTTATTTTCCAAATTCATGCGGGTCATTTAATGAAGGTGAAAATTATCCTGAAAATGATATCGTGTTGAGACGGTCAATGAGGGGAATACCACCGGATATGCATTTGTATTTCTCAAAGGTTTTAAAGTGACAAATTCCTATAAAAGTGAAAAAGAGTGAAGAACATAGACTAAAGACAATCATTTACGGGACATTAAGTTTAAAATTATTATTAATTCAGTGTCTTTTATAACTATAAAATCGATTATAATTTAAATTTTATAAATGCAATTTAATTTAGATCAAGTTAACATTATCGTTGAGGGAAAGTTTCTTTTCAATAAATTGTTAATTTTTTTGATATTATTTCCTATTTATTCTTTATCTCTCATGTGCTTTATTTACAAATATTTCACCCATTCCAACAAATATTAAGAAAGTTATTCTTGAATTTAATACTTTTAATAAATTAAAATGATTTTTATTAATTACAGAAATATGAAAACTGAAGGTATTGTTACAAAATTCATTATGATTTGAATGTTTCCTAACTTTTTTAATAATTATTCTTTTTAAATATACTCAATTTTAAAATTATTATATTGAAAATCATTAAATTCTTGCAGAGAATTTTATCAAAAATTTGAGAATTTTATTAAAATTTTTTGAAAAATATAATTAAATTCTTTTGAAGACTTTCTTTCAATTTTTTTAAATAATAGAGTTTCTTTAATAATTTTAATTGAACATTTTTACAGTTAATTGAACTTTATGAACAATTTCTTACAAGTTTTTAAAATAATCGTGTTTATTAATAATTGAGATTAAACAATTAAATTATTGAATTGTATTGAAATTTTTAGAAAATAATTAAATTATTCTCAAAGTTTTATTACAATTTTTGAAAATAATTTAATTCATTTAAGGAATTTTATTAAAATGTAGAAATTAATTGAATTCTTTCGAAAAATTTTATTAAAAGTTTTAAAAAATTGAATTTTGGCAAAAAATTTTACTATATTTATAAAAATAATTGAATTCTTCCAAAGAACGTTAATATTTATGAAAATCATTGAATTCTTGCGAAGAATTATTATATTTAAATTTTTGAAAATATAAACAAAAATAATGAATTATGTATTTAATAAGTTATTTTTAAAAATTTTTATTATGTAATTATTCAAAAATTTATATTTGAAAATAAAAAATTTTATAATTTGCATAAGAATAAATGGAATAGCTCATTCCGCACTAGCGCACGTAACATTTGCTAGTTTTTAATAATTATTGATTTTTAAATTTAACAATCAAGAATTGCAAAAGCTAAAAATATTTTCCTAATATTTTCCTAATTTTCAAACAGAATTTTGCCTCTTTTCCTAAACATAAATAATTAATTCATTCTAAAAATGAATAGATACGCGACAAAAAGTTTATAATACATTTTTTTTTGTAAATTGTAAAAATATTCGAAACATCAACATCTTTCTTTAAAAATAAGAATTTAGTCATTATTTGGTATTATATTTTTTCTCCCAGAATAGAAATTTTCAAAAATTTCAGTTTAAAATCTTTTGAAATTAAATTATTTTTAAAAATTGTAACTGCAACTCAACTAAAATTGAATTATTTTCAAAATTCTTTAGTAAAATTCGTCGCTAAATCACTTATGAATAATAATTGTAAAACAGTTTTTCGAGTGTCAAATTATTTAAAATAAATTTAATTCCATATTCTCTGAAGTTCAATTATCATTGTCAGAAATAGAAAATAAATTCACGAAGTAAGTAGAAATAAATTCACGTTTAAACGTCCGTGGATGTCAAAAATCAGAATTTTCTAAAAAATTATGATTTTTGATATTTTTTCCAAACTTTTCATAAAATACTCTAATTTTTTTTCTTGACTCCCAAGACTATTTTACATTCTGCCTGTTTCTTATGGTAACCACAGATTGTTAGATTGAATATTAAAAATTTGCGAGGGAATAAAAAATATTTTAATTTTCAAGATTTGCAAAAGAGACAAAAATACTTAATTTTTAAATTTAACATTTAATATTTTCCAAAGTGAGAAAATATTTTGATTTTTAAATTTAGTTTAAATAAAATATTTTGAATTTAGAATTCGAGTATTTCGGAAAAAACAAGAATATTTAAAATTCTATATTATCCAACGTGGAAAAAATAAAATTACATATCAAACAAATTTTCTACATTTTTCTCCTAATTTTAACAAAAATTTACCTCAATTCCTGATCCGTATGTTTGCTTGTTTAAAAGTAAAATATAAAAATGTTAATATAAAATAATCACTTGTCTAGTTTAGAATTATTAGCATGCAATTTAGCTGAAGAAAGTAAAAAGTAAGAAACAAACCTCGTAGTACAGTTCAATGCTCTGTATATTCAAATTTTTCTCGCTCCAATCGCGAGTAACTTCTGTCTCCTCTTTCGTATTTAACCAAACAAGTTCGCCAGTTGCCGATTGGATGAAATCATGTAATGTATCCAAATCGGAAAGTCGTTTATTTGATACTGCCAAAAGTTCGGCGTAAATTTTTTGCAATGCACTAAGTTGTTGACTATAAAGCGTAAGTTCCTCGCCCTGGAAATTCGTTCTAGCTTGAATGCATTTTTCAATTTTCGAATGAAATTGCTCAATATTTTTGTGTTCACGTTGATGTATATCGAGTTCAGTTTGAACGCCAGGCAAATCAGATCCATATTCAGCTTCTTGTAATTGTTTGAGTTTATTTTTGCACCATTCAATGCAATCGTTTACGGCTCTAAATAGAGGATTGGTGTCGACCAATCGTGTTTCGTGGACGGTTGTGCGTAGTTTTGTTACCACGCGTTCTTCGACAGGGAAGGAAACAGAGGAGAGTGGCTGTATTAAACGCTTATGGAGGAGTGAACGAAGTGCCACCCAACGTTGATGTAATTTTTGCACTCTGTGAGGAAAGAAAAAAACAATTATTCATTACTTTCCAATCGAACAAGTTTAATTGAAAATATTTCAAAGCTCACGGAATATTTATTCTTTTAAACAGGTGAAAAGGTGAATTGTTTTCTAAAAATAGGTGACAACAAAAAATTAAATAAAATAAAGTTGTATACGTAAATATATTAATTTTTGTAATTTTTGTAACTTTTTATAATTTTAAATCTGAAATAATTTAAATTTGACATAGAATTAAAAAATTTTTTAAATAATTTAATTAAAATTTTGTCAAAATAATTAAATTCTTTCTAAAAGTTTAGTTGAAAGTGTATTGAAAGTAATTGAATTCTTATAAAGAATTTTATAAAAATTGTTTAAAATTAATTGAATTCTTTGGAGAAATTTCATTATACAATGTATGAAAATAATTCAATTCTTGCAAATTTTTTCGACGAATTTTATTAAAATTGTATTGGAAATAATTCAGTTCTTAAACATAATTTTAGTAAAATTTATTAAATTCTTTCGAAAAATGTTATTAAAAATAGATTGAAAATAATTGAATCTCGTACGAAGAATTTTATTAAAGTTTAACAAAATTCAGAATTTTCTTATGAATTCTATAGAATTTAAATATTTTTCCAATAATTTTGATAATTAACAAAACAGTTAAAATGGGTGAAAAAATATAAAAAGAATGAAAAAAAGTGAACAGTTCGTGATCCCAAATATTTTTTTGAAATGTACTTTTTCTTAAACATAAAATTTTTAAATAATAAAATAAAGAATGTTCTAAAAAAAATTTATTATAACATTGACTTTTTTTTAGAGAATAAAAAATAAACAAAAAGAAAAAATGAATTTTTGTTCTAAATGTCAAGGAGAATAAATAAAATTCGTTTTAGTTACTCACCTTTTGTGAAGCTCGGGAGCTTGGCTGTACCTGCCTTCAGTGAGAGTGTGCACGTCAGTGAATATATTTTGAATTTGAATCTCTGTATTGCGAATATCTTGTTCGAGTAAATCGACTGAATGTTTCGCTTCTAATGGATGCAAACGATCCAATCGTCGAGACTCATCCTCCACGCGTCTCTCCAGCTCTTCCAAACGATTGTCGGTCGATTTCATCTCTCGATGAACTTTTTCGGCGAGTCGTTGTAGTCGTTCGAGGCTGAAAAATACATTAACATTCAGATTATTTTTCGAATTTGAAACAAAACTTCAAAAATAAAACGGACAAATCAAACGAGTTTTTAATTTCCAACATTTTTTTAACAATTTCTTGGTATTGAAAATTTAATGTAGATTTAAAAGATATGCTTGCCAATTTAATTCACAGAGGGATACAAATTAGATTTATTTAATTTAAGTTTAATAAATCGAAGCCTCGAATCGATTTTAAGGCGAAAAAAAGTCGCTTCAGTCGATTAAAAATACAAAAAAATTCGTTAATTTTATTCATTGATGTCACAAAATTTTTATTTCCCTGATTTATAAATTAAATTCTTCAAATAATTTTTCAAAGTTGCATTTTTTGAAAATAAGTCGAAAAAAATTGAAATAAAGTCATACTATCCGAGACCTGTAATTCTACTATCAAATTTTGTTTTATGAATATTTTACATTAAAAAAATATTCGAAATTTAATTTTCCTTCGAAAGTGAAAATACTAAAGAGAATAAATTTTCATTGCTACTAATTTTTATTCAATAATTTTATTTGATTCTCATTCGAAAGTTAAAAATAAAAATAAAGAGACAAAAATAATAAATGAAAAGAAGTATGTAAAAAAGAAAATTAAAAATAGAGTAAAAAATAAAAATAAATATAAAAATGAAGTGAAGAAAGAAAATAAGAGTAAAATAAGAGTAAAAATAAATAAATAAAGGACATAAATGGAATAAAAATACAAACATTGCAAATAATTAGAATAAGAAATCAATAAAAAAATATAAAATAAAATAGGAAACTTGTAAAAATAAAATAAGAGACTTTTAAAAATAGAAAATAAGTAAAATAGAGAAATAAAAACAGGGGAAAAAGTAAGTAAAAAAATAAAAATAAAAATAATTAGAAAAAGGAATAAAAAAGTAGTGCAAAGAAATAAGACTATTAGAAAAAAAGGAAGAAAGCAGGATAAAAAATAAAACTATAAAAAATGGAAATTATTATTAAAAATAGAAAATAAGTGGTATAGAAAAATGAATATAAGTAGAAAGATGAGTAAAAATAAAAAATAAGTTAAATAGAAACGAAAAAATAAACAGAAAAGAAAAATAATGTAGAAATAATGATTGATAATTTTTGATAAACAAAAAAAGAAAGAAAAATAAAATTACCGTTTAATTTCGTCGTGAATTGCCTGGTCGCGCTCCTGATGAAGCATAATGAGCCGATTCCAGTTCTTGTCAATAATATCAATGTGCAATTCCTGTTCCATGTCGATTTCGCCCACAGCCTCAAAGTACTTTTGTAGATCCCTGAAGATGTGAGTTAAACGTTGTTTGTCGCGATAACGTGGCGGAACTTCATCGTTCTTAAATTTGGCACTATCGGCTGCGAGTTTCTTCATTTCAATTAGTGTCGGAGGGAAGGATCTCTCTTGCATAAGGGCCATATTCTCTCTTATCCAACAGTGAAGAGAACTGGCGAGTTCGCGATATTCAGCTGAACGTCTCTGCGCCTCTGCGTCATAAAGTGGATGAATTGATGGCGGCTCTGGGAATACATCGTAGAGCGATGAGATGTACGTTATCAATGACTTCTCGTCCGGTTCGGGGGTATCGACATCTGAAAATAATTCAAAAATATTCAATACAATTACAATTCAATTTTTACAATTTAAACAAAATATTAAGGGCATTTAAATTTACACCATTATTTATTATAATATAATTTTACAACAATGTAAAATCAATTACCCGGGGAAATTTCATTCGTGCCTCATCTTTTCATTGAAATACACTTATAATTATTCCGACAAGAAAGTTGCATTTATAAATATAGAAAAACACAGGGGAAAAAAAGAGAAGATTAAGATTAAGATATCTTCTATTGTCCTACTTTTTATACAAAAAATACCGAGAGTTGCGTCCATTAACGATCCGATCACTGAACTTATTCACAATGATTTTATTTCCATTGGGAAGCGACTCGATTCATAAATAAAAGGAGAGAATCCTTGTATAGTCCTAGACTGACAAGAAACAAAGCAGGATAATAATCCCTTCTATATATATAATGCTCAGTGAATGAATGCCGTTTATAAATTCGTGATCGTTCATGTGCGTCAAAAGAAGAATAAATTCCCTTCCGCGTTCATATATATTCCCATGGTGTTTTATCAATAAAATTCCAAAACTACTGTTATCTCGTCTATTCTGTCTAATGACCACCCTCAAAGTTAAGAGATCATCTTCTTCTCCCTTTCTCCATTTTACTTGAAATATTAAACAAAACGTACCTATTAAATTGGAATCAAATTGGCGAATTAAAATTTTATTATTAGAAAAATTAAATTAAATTTTTAAGACTTTGAATCATAAAACATAAAAATAAAAAACTAGAAACAAAAAACTGAAAAAGTTTTTCTGTTTCCATTTTTTTATTTGTATTTTCTATTTTATTTTAATTTTTTATTTCTATCTTTTTGTATTTTTTATTTGTATTTTGTATTATTTTTTTCTTTTTGTATTTTCATTTTCATTAATAGAATTTTATTTTAAATTTTTTGTTTGAAATTTAATCAAGTGGAAATTTTGGTAAATATTAAAAACGCTGCTGAATTAAAATTCGTTTAAGGGCATTTGAACCATGATGACGTCACAGATTTAAAACTAATGCTTTGCACAAACTGTGACGTCATCAAGGTTCAAATCCCCTTAAATTAAAATTCTACATCGGTGAAAAATTAACAACGTTTATAACGATTTATTTTTTATTTTTTCTTCTGTAATTTTTCAATAACAAAAATTTACAAAAATTTGAATAGAACAATATTTTTTCTTCTATATTGCTGATTGTAAACAGTAACGTAAAATCTATAATTAAAACTTTTAATTTCTTTAAAAATAGAAGGAAATAAATAGTTCAAATAATAATAAACAAATAAACTTAATTTTAGATTTAAAATTTAAAATCTATAAAAAAGGACTAAAGAAAAAGAAAAATATACAAACGAAACTAGAATGAAAATTGATTGAAAAATAAAAAATGGAAAAAAGAATTTTTCAAATTTCAACTATTTTTCTTTATTAATTAACTACATAGCTAATGTTTATTATTTGAAAAATTTTTAATAAAATTCTTCGCAAGAATTCAATTGTTTTCATAAATAATAACATTCTTCAAAAGAATTCAATTATTTTTATAAACAGCAAAATTCTTTGCAGGAATTCAATTATTTTTGACAATTTTAATTATATTTTTCGAAGCAATTCAAATATTTTTATAAACAGCAAAATTTTCCGCAGGTATTTAATTATTTCAATTATTTTAAAAAATTAAAAAAAAAACTTTCCACAAGAATTTAATTATTTTCAAAAATTTTAATAAAATTCTTTTCTAGAATTCAATTAATTCCAAAAAATTTTAATAAAATCCAATAATCAAATTAACGATTATTTTAAAAAGGTAACAAAATTTTTTGTAAAATTCAATTATTTTCGAAATTTTCAAGTAAAATACCTATATTAAAAAACTTTAATTATTTACAAAAACTCTAATAAAATTCTTTAAAAGAATTTAATTTTCTATCAGTAATTTTAATAAAATTTAATAGTAAATTTATTAATTACAATTATTATAAAAAAATCGATTACCTTCAAAAAATTAAAGAAATTAAAGAAATTATTCCAAAAAATTAAATTATTTTCAATATTTTAATAAAATAAATTATCTTAAAAAATTATAATAAAATTCTGAGAAAAATTTAATTATTTTCTAAAAATTTAAATACAATTTTTTCGCAAGTTTTCAATTATTTTCAATACAATTTTATTGAAATTTCTGAAAAGAATTCAAGTTTTTTCAAAAAATTAGATAAAATTCTTTGAAAGAATTTAATTATTTTCAAATTTTCTGAGATAAAATTCTTTAAAAAAAAAAAAAAAATTGTAAAAATCAAATAATTAAAATTATTTCTTTGTCAAAATTTGAACGTAAGAAAAAATTTTCCTCTGTTTACTTATTTGTGACAAATCTAGAGACATTTTTACAGAAAGGACTAAAATATAAATAAATAGATAATAATTTTATTCTTTTGCAGTAAATGAAAAATAAGTGAAAAAACGAAATTAAAGAACTCTTATTCGCCTTTTTTGAAAACGAAAATAATTCGACTGTCTTTTAAGGTGAAAGAGGAAGCTGATCTCATCACTTGTTCTAAATTCCAATAAAATTTGTGTTCCTTGAACAATGGAAATATATATACGATACTGAAAGCTAATGGCAAAATGTATCAAGTGCTACACGCGGTATCACGGTTTGCGAGTCGACCGGAAACGATACCGAGTACCGTGACCAAAAAGACTGCATATATATACCAACAAACACGCCAAGCCAGGTGTATACTAATATCTGGCACATCAGGATTCAAGATTTATGTGAATTTCACGTCTCCGGTCTCAAAACTCTCAATTATATAATCAAGAAAAAAAAAAAATTTACCGCTGCCAACAATTTTTTTTCCTATACTCATAAAAAAATGAAAAAGAAATTATTCCAATTTATTATTAATTACTGTATTAATATTACACACACTATTTAATTATATGTCAAAACAAAATAATTTACTAACTACTTAATTATTAGAATAGAAAGAAATTTATGCTGTCACTTAGTTCGTTAAATAATTCTAAATAAATAATGAAAGAAGTAATTTATTCGTTAAATAAATAATTGATAACAATAATGGCTACTTTGCTCGGCTAAATTGCAAAAAATAAATAAATTAACAAATAAAACTATCTAAAATTTATTCGTTAAAAATAAATAATTTTAAACAAAAAAGGCAACTGTGCCCGTTTGAATAGAATAAAGAAATATAATTAAAATAATAAAACGTTAAATTAGAATTATTCCTCAAAACAAATAATTTTAAACAAAAAAATATTCGTTATTCGCTAAATAATAATTAAAAATCGACGAATAAGCAAAAATTTAAATTAAAAAAATAAAGTAAATAAAATTGAGTAAAAAAAAAGTTTCAATACAAGTAAATTCTGTTTATAAAAAAAATTATCACTAATTACCAAACATGAAATAAATGACTAATTATTAAACTAATGAATATTCGAAATAATTGAACACAAAGTAAAAAAAATTTTTTTTCCCAGTAAAAATATATTGATGACTTGCATTTATCAAAAACAATTACAATATATAAGGAGAAAAAAGATGTGAAATTGCTACAATTGAAACGTTTAGTACAAACTAAATGTTTATTATAAAATAAACGTTCTGTTTATGCAATTGAAACTGCATATTATCCTTGCATTGAAATCACCGATTCGTCACTCCAATAAGAAAAAAAAGAACATTGCCACAAGTATAGTTACATATTATATATCTAAATAAGCTAATTAGAATCCGAACTCTTATTGAGACATTATATATCGACGCGGTAACTGTAAATAAATAAATAATTAGAAAAAAATGAAGAAAAAAACATCATCACTGAGAGTAGTAATTTCATCTTGTACTAGTTATCAATTATATACTCAATCATCAGGGTGAATATATCGCTTATTAAAGACTACAACTATTTATTATTCCAGAGAGAAAATTTGTAATAATTAATGCAAATTTTGTTTTTTTTTTGTTTTTTTACAAGAAAAAAAAGAAGACGAGAAAAAAGCAAATTGAAATTGACATGAGAAACCTCCTTTTCATTATTTCATTAAATAAATTAATCAATTTACTGGAAAAGAGTGTAATTAATAAATTAAGTTATGAAAGATTCATTGATTAATTCAGTAGAAATTAAAGTTGAAAAATGGAATAAAAAATCCAATATTATGAAAGCTTGGAAGTTTTAATTATATAAAATGTAATTAAGGCAATTTTTATTTCGTACATGGAAGAAAATATTCGTCTGGAACAGCTACAAATTTTACTACGTCCTTTATTTACAAAATATATAAATAATATATATATATATATATATATATATATAAAAATGTACAAAATTATTTATTTTATTTTTAAAATAAAAAAAAACTAAAATTTATTTTCGTTTTTAGATTTATAGAGTTTTCTAAATACTGTAATTCTATTTTTACCAAATTTGTCGACTTTTTTTCCTGTTTTCGATAATAAATTTAATTCTGGCTCGTTGTAAAATTCAATTATTTAAAAAAAATTTAAATTCAAATTCTTTACAAACTCGATTGTTAAAAAAATTATAATATTCATCAAGATGTTACATTTTTCTTAATAAAATTTTACGAAATTCGAATTGTTTGAAATCTTTTTTTAATTAATCGTTTTCGAAAATTCAACTAACTTCAAAAAAAAATTTGAATAAAAATTTCTCAAAACTCTAATTGGTTCAGAATTTTTAAATAAAATTATTCAAAACATCATTAATTTAAAAAATATATTTTAAATACTATTTCTAAATCAAATTCTTCGCTAAAAGAATTTATTTTTTAAAATAATTTTGTAAAAGTTTTTTGAAAGTTTAATTATTATTCTAAACATTCAATTATTTCAATTTGTTTAAAACTTAATTATTCTCATAAGAAAAAAAAATTAAGAATTTATTATAATATTCATGTTGAATTCAAAGTTTCTAAAATGAAAACAATTATAGGAAAATTCAAATATTTTTAATATTTTAAAAGAATGATAAAAATTACAATTTTAGTTTTTATTTCTTCTTCTTTTACGAGAAAGCAGACCAAAAATGTATGAAATTAATAACAAATTTTTATTTGCAAATGAAAATGTCAATTTTGTAAAATAATTGATTAAAAAAAGAAATTAAAGTGAATTTACGATCTTTCCATAACAAAACAAAAATCACGTCTTTTCCTATATGTTTGCAAATTTTTCTCTAGATTTTTTTTCAATTTTTTTAGAGAAATTCCTATTTAAAATTTAATATTCTTAAAAATATCCCCTTTCAAATTTTTTTGAAACTTATATGAAAAGAAAGCAAAGTTTTTCTAGTTTCCAGTTCCTCACAATTTTTTATGGACATTTTAGAAAATTTAAAAAAAAATTTTAAATAAACTCTTTGAAAATTTAAGTGAAGCAAAATTTTAAAAATATTTAAATTTTTATTTTAAAGAATTCTTAAAGTTATTCAATAATTTTATTCAAAAATTGTAAAAAAATAATTGGATTTTGAAAGAATTACTGTTGCAATTTTTAGAAATAATTAAATTTCATGAGGTTTTTCATTGAAATTATTTGAAATTTTAATTCCTGTGGAAAAATAAAGAAGAATAAGTTTGTAAATTTTAGTTTAGCAAAAAGTAGGTATTCAAGTTCTGAATAATTTAATTTAGAAATTCCAAAAAACTGTTTCTTGAAAAAATGTAATTAAATTTTTTTTTAAATAATTGTATTTCCGAATATAATTTTAAAAAATTGAAATAATTGAAAATTTTGTCAAATTTTATTAAAATAAATTTAATATTTTAATAAATTTTATTTGTTTACCTACTTTTAAAAATTATTTTGAAATATAATCGTATTTTCTGCAGAATTCTAATTGCAAATTTGGAAAATAATTGAATTTAAAAAAAATTAGAATAAATTTATTACCAGGATAGTTCCAGTGGTACTCGAGTATCACTGTAAAGTTCAATTATTTAATCAAAAATATTCAAGTTGCTGTTAGAAATATCTTCAATAATTAAAAATTTAAAGAAAAATTGTTCGAAAAATTATATTTTCTAAAAAATTAAGAATTTGCATTAAATTTTAAAAAGCAAATCTTTTAAATTAACAATTTTAAATCGTTCAATACCAAATTTAAAACATCGTTTTTTTCCAATTTTTGAAATTCTTCAAATTTATAATTAAATGATTAAAAGAATTTTACCATTTAAATTCAGCAGTTAAAATAATATTAATTTAATTGTATTAATTTAATTAATTCAGCAGTCAATTAGATTATTTGCTTGTTTTTTTGATAGAGATTAGACGTACCTTCCGGATCGAGTAGCCTGGTAACGCCATACTCGCGCTCGGCAACGTAAAAGACTCTCTCGAGTCGTTCGCGAACTTGCCATGATCGTGCGGTCCTCCAGTCGACCAGGTCGGGACGGTTTCTGTGAACGAGGGCACTGAATGCCAGCCCATCTCTCCAGGAGCTGGTAAAGTCCGACACGCGAACTCCTGGATATCTCGCCGTTGAACGTCTGGCCCATCGCAGCAATGCTTCTCGTGCTGTTACATTTGGCTCTTGCCCCACAACAATGTCAGAAATCTGCAAATAACAATTTACAATTAATATCCAATTTTTTTTTTTACAAAAAGAAAAAAAACAATTTCATACTCTAATTTCTATTTTCTAAGGAGACTGACTTCAATTTTTTCTCATCGACAATAAAACAATAAATGAATACTTTACATTCATTTTTTTTACAATTTTGTATTTGAATTTAGTCAAATATAAATTTATAATTCAAAAACAGAAATTTATTCTAATTTCTATTAAATTCGAATTTTTCTGTAAACTTTTTCTTTCTGATTTTTTATAAATAATAAGTGAAGGAATTTTATTGCAAATTTTGAAAATAATGATTTTTTAAAAGAATTTTATGAAAAATCCAAAAAGTAAATTAGTGCGAAAAATAGTTAAAATCAATTTGCTTCGGTAAAAAACAAAAAAATTAATAAATTAACTATTTAAAAGGAATTGAAAGATAAAGAAATGGCAATAAATGAGTTAAAAATATAGAGAATAATAAACAAAGTCAATAAGTCAATGACTCATTGCGGATTTAACTGCAATAAATATGCTAATTGAAATTTACAGCTTTTAACGAGGGAATAATTGAAATTTTTTTCGGATCGATGATCATTGTTCTAACACGGTAATTATTTTACAAAACGAGTTGCAGATCATTCCGCGTCGTTCACTAGACGTAGTTTAAATACCAGTCGGCGAGAGATTTAAATGCTTCTTTCAAACTCTCTATAAGAAAAGTTCATTATTACATTGTACATTATTACGTTACATTAGAATAAATAATCCTAATGATAATAAATTCAATAACGATCCTAGTAAATAAACAATGCGTATTATAAATATATTATATTAATATAATTATTATAATTAACATCAATTAATTAATTTAAGTACACCTAATTAAAATATTTTTATTAAAACAGATAAATTGACGCTCTCTGAATAAAAAACTAAGAAGCATTGAATTTTAGGTTATGTTTGTGATTTTTGAAATGAAAATTCTTAAGGGAAATCGACTCTTAATATACAAATCGCTAATGTTTAAGTCTTCATTAGATCTGAAGTAAACATTCTAAACTGATTTTACTTTTAAATTCAAGGTAATAACTTTTAATTAAGGTAAAAATAATACAAACATAACCTTAAAATGATTTACTTCTTACCTTTCTTCGGCGAGCGTATCACAAATAGACTTAAAAAATAGAAACAAAAATAAAGTGAAGAATACGAAATTTTACATTTTTCATTATTAAAATACATAATAAAAGAATTATTATTCTCTATTAAATTTTAACATTTCTGTATTATTTTAAAATTAAGAAAATTGATTTTTTTTAAATTGGGAAAATTGATTTTAGTCTTAAGTAAATAAAATTTTAAATATATTTAAAACAATTTTTCGTTTTCGAGGAGCAAAAGGATCAAAAACAGGTTATGTTTGTAATTTTTGAAATGAAAATACACAAAAAGGGACAACTTTTAATGTAAACCACAGATGTTTAAGTCTTCATTATATCTAAAATAATTAGTAAACATTGATTTTAGTTTTCAATTCAATATAGAAAAAATTTAATTAAGGTAAAGATAACACAAAGATAACCTAAAAAATATTTGCTTTTAGGTAACATTCTTCGGAGCGCTTCACAAATTTTAAAAAAGTTGACAAAATAAGACTGCCTGACTGAAATTTACTTTTTCCACTGATAATTTCGTCTGTCTGTGTCTGTCTTCTACTACTTCGTGCGTACGTGTCAAACAATAACAGTATAGTTTTTATATAATATTGTATTTTTTTATTATTATTTATTATTATTTAATAATTTATTTTTAGACTTAATTTAATTTCTTATTTATATTGAATTAAATTTTACTTTATTATTTATAACTAATTAAATTTTAATTTATTATTTAGTTAATATTATACTTTTTTTCATAATTTCAAACGAAAAAAATACAAGAAAAATAAAAAAAAAACTTTATTATGATATTTCTTTTTGGAATTTCAACACGAGGATAAAAGTGAAATGAATCATTTTCTGAATATTTGCGCAATAAACTATTTTAATACCCAAAGCAGTGCATCGAACTTCACTCTCTTATTATTCTATTTTTTTTCGTCTTCGTGCATCTTTCTCTCTAAACAATCTTGCAAAACGTTAAACCATCAAGAATGCTCTATTATTCCCTCGAATCGTAACGGGTTTTCTGATCTAAAACTCTTTAAATTGTATTTTATAAATTATCCTGGCAAAGTAACCTGACATTGATTTCCAACATCCTTCTTCTTCTTCGTCTTCTTCTTCTTCTTCTTTTCCTCTTTCATTCTCATCAAGTTTTAAATTTCCGGCATTTGTCTTTAAAGAGACCCACGAGGAATTGCCGTGATAATTTTCTATTTATTTTCTCTTTTTTTGCAATGTTTTTATACCCCTTTTACCCTTCTATGAAGTAAAAAATTGTTTTCAATCTTCAATTCAATTTTTATTTAGAGTAAGTGTATCAATTACTGCGGCATTCCAACCAAAGTATCTTCTGCACTCTCTATATTAGATTTTGTAAAAATGTTTACTAATTTGAATTAGTGACTTTTTGTTTCTAATTTAGTAAATTTGACTAATAGTCATTTCTATTTTCTATACTAATTTTTTACTTTGAAGACAAAATTTTATACTAAAAAATTTTTTTATACAAGCGCGCAGTAATAGACGCCTTTGATATTCTTTTTAATTATTTAAATTATATATTTTTAAAAGGCATTAATTTTTGTAAAAATTTCTTAAAATACACTTTAATAAATTTTAAGTTAAATTCCTTTGACATAAATATCTTATTTAAATTAGTAAAAATGTTTACATTCGTGACTGACTTTTTGCTTTTGATTTAGTAAATTTTGCTAATTACTTCTACTATTTTTAAAGACAATTTTTTAAATAAAAGTTAGAAAAATTTACTTCAAAAATATAGTAAAATTTACTCTAAAAATAAGAATATTTAATAATTGTAATGCCAGAGGAAGATTGGAATAATTTTTATAAAAAAATTGACATTGAAAATAGTAAATTTTGCTACTAAAAATTACTATTTCCATAGTAAATTTTGTAATATTCGTAATATTACTGAAAATTAGTCAAATTCATTTTAAAATTAATACAATTTATTAAAAATTCAAAAAAATTTGAATTTTCCTCAGAAGTAAAAGTTATTTTATATTTGTTATCTCTTATGAAAAAATTTCCAAGTTTAAAGATTAAAAAACAATATAAAAATATTTTTAAGTTTTTAAAATACCAGAATTATTCCAAAATTTGAGAAAAATACAAATTTTTTCCTCAATCATAACAAGGTTACTACGCTTTTGCTCTTTTTAAATTCCCTGACTTTTACAGGTTTTACAGGTTAAAAAATAGAATTTTTTCAGGTTTTTAAAACAAAAATTATTCGAAAATATCAATAACTTCATTTTTAAATAAATATTTAATCATTTCTTTTATAGAAATTAAGATATTCAAAAATTTGAAATTCAATAACATAAGAATATTTATTATAAAACATGAAGATATCGATCACTTCGAGTCTTCGACTCGGAGTGATCGCTTTCTTCATATTTTATAATAATTAAAACTTGCTAATTTGTTACTGTAACTTCGTCAAAAATTATTTTTATCATTACGATTATTCATTTCAAGAATTTTCAACTAAAATTCTCCTTTAAGTCAACTTTTTTAAATAATTATTGAAAAAGTTTTTTGTGAATTTTTAAATTCTTCTTTTTACAATTTAATTTTACGAAATTTCGATTATTTCTGACATTCTTCAATTAAATATATTAGAAATTAAAAACTTGAAATAATTAAAAACAATTTCCATGAAACTTATTGAGAAAAATTAATTCTATAAAATTCTTTATTAAAAGTATGAAAAGTTCAAATTTTCAAAGCACAGTTAAAAATTGTGAGATTTTAATTTGAAATTTATTTTTAAATCAATATTTATTAGAAAATTCTAAGAAAATTTTCATAAAGAATTTTATCAACAAATTTTTAAATAATTGAATTCTCTTGACAAATTTTAATAAGAGAAAAAGAAATTTGATGAAAATTGTATTATAAAAATAATTGAAATTCAGCCAAGAATTTTACTAAAAGTTTTGAAAATAATTGAATTTAGAAGAAAAATTTTATTATTTATAAAGATAATTGAAATTTTGACGAAAATTTTTGGAAATTTTTTAAACATCCCTGTAAAAAATGTTATTATTCATGAAAATAATTGAATAATATAAGAAAATAATTTGTAAATAATTGAATTCCTGTGAAATTTTTATTATTTATGAAAATAATTAAATGTTTGCGTATAGAATTTTATTAAGTGAAATTAGATTTCATGATTAAACACAATAACTTTAGAAAACAACAATTTTCCAGGATTTCGATCAAAATTCCCTGGTTTTTCTAGGCTTTTGCAAGGTTTATCGTTTATAAAATTCCCTGACATTTCCAGGTTTTCCAGGTTTCTTAGCAACCCTGATACGTCTGATTGAAATTTACTTTTTCTACTGATATTTTCGTCTGTAACTGATACACTTACCCTACTTAGAAAAGAAATCTAATTTTCCAATTTTCTATACATTAAAAGAAAAAAACAAAAAATTTAAAAAAGATTCTAAATTTAGAATTAAAAAACAAAAAATGGATAGAAAGTTGATCCAGGAAGTTAAATATAGAAATTTCCGAGGAGTCACGAGAAAATATATATATACTATGTATATTAATCTTAAACACTTGAAAGGTCATCAAAAGGAATAAATGTGCGCGATTCGTCTTCGAAAATTTTTAACAGGCCATCATTTTCAAGCATCAACATTTTCGAAATGGATATAGATAAATAATGTCAAGAGTCTAATTACATGCACTGACTAGTTGCCGGCTTGATCTAGAGAGAAAGCTACGCTGCTCTCGACCTGATAATGAATATCCGAACTGCTTTAATACAAATTACAAAATTTCAATTTTCTA